CATATAAATGAAAAGAATGAAGTTGTTTCTATAGACATTGACAAACTGGACCCTGTTGAATTTCGAAACAGCAAGAATCCAGTTGAGAAAGTCGAAGGGAAGATCATGCTGGTCACAGGAGATGATGACATGTGTCCTAATGTGTCTGATTGTGCACTGAGAATGCAGAGGAGGCTAAATGAACATGGCAGAGAGTCTGCAACTATTCTTAGTTATCCAGGCACCGGACATTTAATCGAAGTTCCTTTTATGCCAATGTGTCGCATTGCTTACTATTCATATTATAAAGTTTATGTTTTATGGGGAGGGAATGTAATTGAGCATTCTGCGGCACAGGAGCATGCATGGAGAGCTATCAGAAGATTTCTCTTGGAAAATGTATGAGATTCATCTTCTGAATTACAATCGTATCAATAAAACAGGAAAAGTACAACTTGGGAAATAAAAATTTAATTACCTAATATTTTTCTTATTTTGTGTGTAACGACTGAGTTTCGGAGTATGGTTAGTGTTTTTCATATAAAGACCAAGGTTTTTTAGATAAAGACTCAGATTTTTAAATAAAGGCTAGGTTTTTTCAAATAAAGGCTAGGTATTTTCAGATTAAGACCATGTTATGATCATTGTTGATATAAGCGCTATCCACAAGTAACTCAAAATTTCATGAAAAGTTGGCCATAGATTATAAAGAGGTTGCTCAAAAGTTGCCTGTTTTTGAATAAACTCTTGCTCGATCACTTTAAAACTATTCATAGAATGAATTTTCAAAAAAAGCAAACAAACTGTTTAAAACATATTATAAAGACAAAATATTTTAATATGTAAGAATGCATCAACAACAGACTCGTACAATATTTATTAATTCAAAAACAAACTGTGTCAAAAGCAGGCAACTCTTTAATATTACAGATGCCTCTACTGCTTCCTCCAAAACAGCTTGCTGTTCATATAAAATGCGCTTTTCATGCCCCTGAAAAGCTTTCTCAGCTGGTGTAGAATTTGAACGCACAACCCATACCTTCTTTCCTGCGCTTATCCATCTATCAAGAGTGCTTGCATTGCATCACTTTCCCACCATCTCAACTTTTCATCCTCAGCTTGAGTTTATGTACCCTGCGCCGAAGCTAAAATCTTGACAAAAATAGCTGAAACTTGTTATCGAAAAGTGAAGTCAAATGTCTTATCTTTATATAACATGCCACATCCCCTTCCCTCCGACGTCAATACGGACAATAACTGGGGATGAACGCGGGCTAAACTACTCTGACTAATAACGACATTGATGCGGGTCGGGGGGGGGGGAGTTGGGGGCCGAATAATTTGGAACTAGCTTAATTTTCTGCGAGTGTCTTAGCTTTTGCCAGGGCTGTAAGTTTACAGGAAGTTCTTCAGCAGATCCAGGAATAATATTATTACCATCATCATCAATGAAAGGGAAATTTTGAAACAGCTGCAAAGTGGGAGAATCTGAATCCGAGCCTGAAAAGGGCAAATAATTTTCAAAACTTTATGCATGACTTTGCGTGTGTTTATAGTTGATTCAAGGTCAAGTGGGAGTTGAGAGTTTTCAATTCAACATCTATTATAGTCATAGAGCTAGAGAACTTTAAATTTGCCTGCACCTCCTCCCCCTCTCCCCCGCCCACCCTTCCAACGTTAGAAACAATTTAATTTGGCCTCGATTTGACTTTTCTTGTGAACACCACAAAATGGCGGGAGTAATCAAGTTCGTGCAAATGATATTGGATGCGAATGCAATCTGGGCATTAAGGATCCCTGTGTGAAGTAAGTTTATTAAGTTTTTAAATATCTACAACGGCTCATTTTGTTTCTTGACTCCAAACATTTTCCAGTGTCGTTTTTTTCTTCAAACTTCTAACTCCACAAATTAGGTACTTCCATTTTTATTTTTTAGGATAGCATCCAGACGATCCAACCTAAGAACAGTGGTGTAGTGCTATCAAAATAACAAGGGAGGCTCTTGCCCAAAATGCCGCGAAAAACAATAGCAAAAGTAGTAATCTGCCAATTTTTGGCATCAACAAGGGGGGCTCAGCCCCCCTGAACCCCCCTTGCTCTACACCCCTGCCTAAGAATAGCAAATTCAAAACTTTTTAATAATTTCCCGTAAAAGACTCCTTTTCTTCCATCCGTAAAAATTGATTCTAGCTAAAAATGGCGATTATAGCCTTAAAAGTT